CCCACCATCACCTCCGCCACGCCCACCACCACCTCCTCGGGTTTTAGGCCCTCCTTACCTTGGGTGAGACTGTTATAATTGCCTCCTAACTCTTCTCCTGTCTCCATCCTTCACAGAGTTGTCAGATCAATCTTACGAAAATACCATTTTCGTCATGTCACTTGTCTGTTCAGAAACTTTCGGTGGGTTGTAGGGGAGCTAGTCCAAAGCCTTCGCTAGCTTGGTCCTCCACTGTCCATCCCAATGGGACCTTCCAGATCTTCTTCCATTAGCCCGTGCCGACCTGTGCCCATGGTTCCTCCCTCTTGGACTGTTTCTCAAACCGTTCTTACCACTGTGTTTTTACCTATGCTGCCCGCTTCTCAGAGCTCTCTCCTCTGTTGCAGCCAAATTCTACCCATCCTTCCAGGTCCAGCTGGAATCCTGCCTCCCCAGCAAGTCCTGAAATCCAGTGGTACTCTTCTTTTCTCCTACTTGACCCCAGTGTGCCTTTGGGTTGCTCACTCTTTTCAGGGGTACATGCCCTAATTCTATCTGTAAATGTTTCCCAGGCAGTGGCAGTTCTGATGCTGTGCTGGGGACAGAAAAGGGGTCCAATAAGTCTGTGCTGGTTGATTGATTGCAGGAGACTCTGGTGGGCTGCTGTCCCATGGTGGTTTCTGACATGTCTTAGCTGGCACCTTCTTTTTATTCCTGGTTGGTTTTCATCTCCAGGGCAAGGGAACACTCACTCAGCCTTCTTCCCTCCACTGAAGGAAAGGAAGGGATGAGATTCCGCTGGCGGCAGCACAGGTCTGGTCAGCTGAGCTCTGTGGCTAATGTGTGTGTGCACATGCCTGTGTGTGTGTAAGCGTATGTGTATGTACATGCCTGTGTGTGTGTACTGCACGTGTGTGTACTGCAGTGGGGTTGCAACCCCCTCCCCCAGTCCTTCTTCCCTCTCTGCTACTGCTCTTGCCCTCCAGAGAATCCACTCCACAAGATGAGTAGGTCTAGAGAGATGAGGCAAAGGGAAGAAACTAAAAGCCTAAGTGTTCTCTTTCCCTCCCCTCTGCACATCATAACTTCTGGATCTTTAATGGTGGAGGGACAGGTGAGGTGGGTGGGTGGGCAGGAGGCTTACCTGCTGGTTAGCTCAGGATGGCTGGGATGGGCCCTTCCAGGTGGTCTGAAGGAATATAGTACTTGAGGGTGTGTGAAAGTGTGTCAGTGAACCCCAGGGGCTTTTGTTTACACCTACTGACTCTCCTTTCTCCCATGACTCCCTCTTGCAAGATCTCCTATCCCTCATACTCTACATACTAGTCTTTGGATCCCCGTAGCCTTTTATCTTCTCTTCTCATTTCCCGCTAAGTTTTATGCCTTGTCATAGGTTCCCAATCCTTTTCCTAGATCCCAGAGGAAAGGGGTGACATTTTATGAACAACTTCCTATGAACCAGACATTTGACTAGCTGCTCTGTGTACAGTGTCTCATATAATTTCTTTGAGGGTTTTTTTTTTAATTCCCATTTTATAAAGATTTTATAGATTAAATTGCCCATGGCTAGTATGTGTTCATCTGTATTTCCTCTGCAGATCCTGGCCGAGGGGAGCCTTACACACAGCACATGCTCAGGAAATAATGGTGTGGCACTTGGACTGCCACATGTGAGGGCAGCTCAAGTTGAGGCCTGGGGTCAGCAGAGGGTAGGCTGTAGTGGGAGAAGCTTATACAGATAGGGAGGAAAGAGGGCCCAAGGCCAGAGTGCCCCACAGCAACAACAAGCTGAACATTGATCTGGCTGGTGGGGTCCACTGTCCTTGTGAAGGCCTGGTGACCCCAAGTCCCTAAAAGGCCTCAGCCACTCACCTCTTACTACCAGATTCTACCCCCCCCCCAAAGAGAAGTCAGTGGAAGCCACTCTTGGGTGTCCATTGCTGCTTTCTCAGCCCCCTTCACCCGAAAGGGGGCCAGGTGAAGCTTCCACATATGTTTCAGAGTTGTCTTTCGAATACCCACTGGGGTTAGAAGTTTAACAAATTTTTGGAGGAGAAAGAGGGATGTGCTAATTTGGAAGCCTGGAATAGAGCCCTTGGAAGAGGGAAAAGCTGCATTGGATACCAGAGTGTGGGGATGGTGGAGTGTATTTGGGTGACCAGAAGGCCCTGAAGTGGGGGAGCTGAGGGAGGAAGTTCATTTATAGCAGGCTCCCAACCTCTGGCCTCCAGTCCAAGACGTCCCAGCTGTATAATTCCTATCGGCTTGTCATCCTTTCATCTATACTTTTGTGAAGTTGGTTCCTTAAGTTCCCGAATTTTGGAAAAGAAGCCGGGAGACCTTGTCAGATGTGAAGTCTTTTTCTAGAACTAGAGAGGCCCGGAGCAAAGTCAAGGAGGGCTGCCCGGAGGAGGCTTTCCCCAGCTCCTCTCCCCAAGCTTTCCTAGGGCTGGTCTTGCACTAACTGGCTAGGGCTGCGCCTCCCTAGGGCATAATTCAGTGGCGTGGGGAGGAGATAGGGCTCCGGCCAACGCGCCAGGATCAACCAGACAAGAGAGGCATTCGGCGGAGACCCGCGCGGGCTGCTTCCAGAGCTGGGGAAGACGAGTTCCCGCCTAAATCCGCAAGATGGAAGTTGCTCCCTCTAGCTTTTCCACTAGCGAAGGCTGCTCGTTTTGTGAGTGACCCCTCCCTTCGCGCCCAGGTCGATTTCTAACATTTACTCTTTTATAGAGTCTTGTTCATTTAAAAATGCATGGTAAAAGACACTACCAAATACACCTTAGATCCGGCCCAGATTCGGTTTTGGGTAGCGCGGAAAGTTTACAAGGCACTGGATGTACCCCACCCCAGCACCCGGGGTGCGCGCGGAGCTGAATGCAGGAATGTGTGCACCAAGGCCGAGGGACGCAGGCAGCTCTAACGTTGCTGAGGATGTGTAGGAAGGGAGAGTGAAACTGGGGTGCCTGGCGTGCGGAGGCGTGTGCCCCCGCGTGTCCACGGCCCCGTCGCCTCGCCCCCTCTTGCCGAAACGTGCCAGCAACCTCAGCTCTCTTTCAGCCCTTTCTCAGCCAGACGCTTCCTTTTTGGTGCCTCTGGGCGTTTACTGTAAATTCCGTGACTAAAACACGCCGGTGAGCCCGGCCCATCGACAGATGGATCAATCGCCCCCTTCTCGGCTGGGGGAGGGGGACCCCACCCGGAGCCTCCGAAGCGGGTAGCTGCCGGCTGCCTTGGGAGAGCTCTCGGATCCCAGCCCGCCGCCGAGCTTGGGCCGCCGAGCTTGGCACGGAGCCCAGGGCCCGGTCGGTCTCGGGTGCTCCCGCCGGGGTGGGGTGCGAGCCCCCGACCGATCCCTCCGGTGCGGCTCGGGCAGGTCAGCCGGCCTCGGAGGAGGCGGTCGGGGTGCCCGGGCACCGCGGCCTTCCTCCCGCGCCAGGGGAGGCGAGAGGAGTGGGGAAGGGGAGTCTCAAAGGGCTGCAACGCCGGGGCGTGAGGGGGCCGAGGGCGCCAGGGGCGTGTGGGGAAAGTTCTCGAGCTCCGCGTGGAGAGCACACGTGTATGCGTGCTAGGGGCTAGACCCGGGCAGGCAGGCTGCGCGGGGACGCTGGGGGCTGGCGCTGGAGGGGCTCCTTCTTTTCTCTTGCGCCTTCGGGGCGACGCTCTGCTTCGACTCCCTGGCCCAAGGACGCATCCGCCCGAGGAGGGCGGAGCCCCTCCCCAGACCCTGGCCTCCCAGCCGGGGATTTTCGGGCGCCCCTCCCCCCATGCCCCCGGGATGGCTGGGGTGTCGTGGACACTCCACGGCCTTCGGCCTCAGCTGAGCCTCCCTAGGCCTCCGGGACCCGTGGGCCGAGGCGGCGGGGGCAGGGGCAGTGGGGATTGGAGGGTGCAGCCCGCCCGCGGCGAGGGGTGGGGGGGGTGCGGTGGCGCGCTGAGAAGGCAGGAGGAGGGTGAGGAGGCTGTGGTGGGTTTGAGCCGTAGCTCGGGGAGCCGGTCAGTTTCCGGCCAAGGCAGCAGGTCAGTCCTGGGAAGGGCGGGCGGCCGAGCGGAGGGAGTCAGCGGCGAAGCACTCCTCTCGTCCAGCGTTCCCCGGCGCCACCGCCACCGCCGTGTCGCCGCCGCCGCTGCAGAGTGTCGCTGCTCCGCCGCGCTCCCGCGCCCCGAGCCGCCAGCCGCCTGGGAGCCTCAGCGCTGAGCCCCGGGCGGAGAAGAGGGGCGCGGGCGCGAGAGCCGCGGAGAGGGAGCCGCTAAGGGGGAAGGGGGCGGGCGGAGGGAGGAGCAGGGAGAGAGGGAGAAGGGGGAGGGAGAGAGGAGAGCGAGGGAGAGCTGGAGAGAGCGAGAGCAAAGAGCGAGAGCCAGGGAGAGGAGAGGGAGGGAGAGAAGAGAGAAAGACACACGCACGCAGAGACACACGGTCACTGGAATTCCATTAGAAAAAAGTGAGACGAGCAAGGGTTAGCGGCAGAAGATTTTTTTTTTTTTTTTAATCTTTTCTTCGTCTGGGTGCGAAAGAAGCGACTCCGGGCTCTCGTCCTCGAAGCTCCCACTGGATTGTTCCTTGACGCTAACACCCGTCGGTGGATTTCTCTCCTATTTGCATTTTATTCTGACCCCCACCTTCGCTGCTTCCTTCCAGCCCTTCACTCTCAAATCGCCTCTTCCCCACCTCCCCAGTACGTTCCTGGGAAGCGCAGGGGAATTGGACCCGCGGGGACTCGCGCCTTCCCGGACCAGCGGAGGGGAGGACAGAGCGAGGACCAAGCTGTCGGCTTGCAAAGCAGAGATACCCTCATTTACGTGTATATTTGATTTTAGTGGGCAAGGGGGGCGTCGAGAGGCAGCCCACCGCCCTCCTGCCCCCCCTCCCCCCCCGCCAGAGGCGAGGATCGCCGGACTCAGGATCTTCATCGGGTGGACTAGCTGGGATCTCCGCATTGGATTTGGGGCTGATTATCACTGCTTGGCTATTATTATTGTTGTTGTTATTATTATTATTATTTTTTTACCCAAGGGAGAAAGACACAAAAAACTGTGGGATTTATTTAACATGATCTTGGCAAACGTCTTCTGCCTCCTCTTCTTTTTAGGTGAGTACCTGCGGGAGGGGAGGGCAGCTCGTCCGCGGGAGCCTGGGGAGCCGCTCGGGGCCGCGCGTTCGGTCGCCGGCGAGAAGCCGGGAACGCGGGGGGCGAGCGGGGCGCGGACTGGAGACCGGCGGGGAGAGCGCGCCGCGGAGCCAGCCGGGCCCCAGCGCTGCCGAATCGAGCCGGGCCGGGCGGCGAGGCTGCGGGCGGAGGGACGCGAACAGCCGCTGGCTGGTTACGCGGGGGGGCTTGGGAAGGAGACTTGGAACACCCAAACCATCGCCGCACATACGCACGCACACACGCACACTCGCTTACTCACATACAATGCTAGCGCTCATTTCTCTCAAAATAATGGGTTCAAATTGCGGCAACTTAAGAAAAAAAGAATACCAACTCTAGATCTGGAAGAGAGGAGGGTGGGAAGAGGCTCTGTGTCGCGGAGAGAAAAATCATGCCAGTTTCATCTTTCTGGTCGGCTCCCGGATCGGCCCGGGCGGACGGCATGCGTTTCTGGATCTCCTGCTTGGACATCGGTGCGGGCAGCGCTGGCCGCCATCCCCTCACCTGCCAATCACCCTTCGGGAAATGCATCCCACTTCCCGCTCCCCGAGCCCCTTTCCAGTGGCCCCACTCCCTGGAACACTTTTCAAGTTTCTCCCCACCCTTTTCCCGCCCTCCCGCCCAGACCCGAGCCAGATGCGTGGGCAGGAGTGAAGGGTTGAGAGCAACCGTTCACTACCTATCCCCCACCACCTCTGGCCGCCTGGGGACCCTGTAGCTTGTGGGAAGAGGAGGGAGGGAGGTCAAAGTTTGCTTCCCTGGGTGAAGAGGGAGAGGAGTGATGGGAAAAAAAGGGATCTGAACAAAGACCACTGCTCATTCTATAAGCCCCCTCCTCCAACTGCAGGGAGGAGGGGCTGCCTGGTGTCCCTGAACCCTGGGCAGTCTCTTTCCCACCCAGAATTCCCAACCCCTTGCGCCCTTTTGTGCTATGTGAAATCTCAGCTGCTTGGGAAATGGGTATAGAGAGGGGATTCTGGGAGGGGAGGTGAGGAAGAAGGTGTTTGCCAGCCGAGTGCTGACCTGGAGTCCCTGGCCAGGCTGCTGCCCCTGGGTAGGTGCTCTGGAGAGGGAGCTGGGTAACGAGTGTGTTGAGGGCGCACACATCTGCCTCCGTGTGGATGCTGTTCCTGCCACCCTGGCCTGCTGTTAGCCTCTGGTGAGCCAGGGTGCCTAGCTGGGTCAGGACTGTACCCTTTCTCTCCTGGAGGAGGGGAGAGGGGAAGGCCTGAGGGGGTAGGTGCCCATCACAGAAAGATGTTTGTGGTCTAGTAAGTGCCCTCCTGGCTTGAATAGGGGATTTGAGTCAATACTGATTAGACCCTTTGTCCACCCCCTGCCTCTACCCTGTCCCAGAAGCTGCGGTCCCCCAGGGTGCCTGGCCCTGCTCTAGGGTGTGGCCTTCACAGGTCCTGCCCCCCTAAACCAGAGGCAGCTGTCTCCAGGGTGGGAGGGGCTGCAGGAGGAAGCTGCAAAGGTACTCCGGGCCCACTGTGAGTTTGCAGCCCTTCCTGGCAACCCACTGCAAGTGGACTCTCATTCTGGAGGGGCTGATATAAAACCTGACCTTTTCTCCCACTGCTGGTTTGAAAACCCAGCTTTCTGGGGCCAAGAAGAAAAGAAAATTGTATTTCAGGAGAAGCCGCCAGATTGCCCGCTGCTGAGCTGTGTATGGCTATACCCCAGAGGTGCCTTCTGATGTCCTGGGGTGGAGAAGAGCGTTATGGGCCCCTTAGTCCTGTCTAGGCCCAGGACCCCATGTTGCAGGCAGGCTTTTTTTCAGCTGGGAGGGTGTGGAGTTGACTTCGTTCTCATGATATAGGGGTATGTGTGTGTATGTGTGTGTCAGAGATGCGCCCGGAGTCTGAGACCCTGGGGTCAGTGGTGACAGGAGGAGTAAGAGCAGGGGATCAGCAGTGCTTTTGGTCAGAGCCCTTCAGTTCCCCTCCCTTGAGATGTCCCTTTCCAGAGCTGGGGGGGAGGGGTTAACTGAGTGACCACCAGATATTAGAAGACTCTGGGTGAGGCCAGCCAAGGAGGAAGGGATAGGCTGGTATTAAGCAAACTTCAGCCTCAGGGCCACTTTCCTTGGCAAGGAGCCCACAGTTGGGAGTTGGATGGAAATTCCACTTGGGGGGAGAGGGTTTTGTGGAGCTTGAAGACTGGGTAGGCAGCTTCAGTGTGTGTGTGTGTGTGGGGGGGGCACGGTGAAGTGTGGTGCCAGGAACATGGGTCTTCAGGGTGCCCCCCAAGGTTCTGAGTGAGGCCTGGAGGTAGAGAGGCCTTTCTGGCCCAGTCATCCTGACCTCCAGGGTTGACATACCCAGGGAGAGAATGAGACGGGGAGAGTCACTTGGGGGCAGGGCTGGTCAGAGGGCCCACTTCCCTCTGGTATCCTAGTGTGCATTCTAGCTCTTGTGGGGCTGTTCAGTGCGGGAGGGTGTTTGCAGCTCCGTCTAGTCTCTCAGTGCCCCTTGTCTCTAGAAGCTGTTCCACATGTCTTGTCTTAATGGATCTGAGTTTTCTCCTGATTTAGAATTTGGAAGCAGCAGGATACCTTCTGACCTTTACTCTTTTAGAATTCTTGGCCCAAGGCTCCCAGTTGCTATGTCTTTCTCTGTCTGGGCTTGATTGCTTCTGGGGGTCATGACGCCAACTAGAAGAGCCAAGGATGGGTGCAGTCAGGGAGTTTGGGGAGAGGATGCACTGGCTCTCTGCAGAGCATCTTCCTGCCCTGGTCACGTGTACCAGCTGGCAGCATGGGGGAAGCCCTTGCTCTTGGCACAGGAGCCCAGCATTTGTGAGGATTGTCCTGTGGGGCTCTAGGGCCCACCTGTAAGGCAGGCAGGGTAAGTGTGCTTCTTGCCCCAATCCCCTAGGCCAGTGTCTTGACCTTTAAGCCTGCCCAGGATGATCCCTTCTCAGGCTGTCTCAGACAGTGCAGCCTCAGGCACAGTCAAGGTGAGAAGGGAGAAGGCTGCTGGGACACTGCGGGGAAGTCCGTGGAAGTCCCAAGGCTGGGTCATTCTTGAGACTCTAGCATGCAGGCTGGCCGCTGGCTAGGTGGGGGTAGCAGGTACAAGTGAGGCTGGGTAAGCTCAGCTGCTCCTGGGTGGCCCACATGCACTGAGTCCTGCTCGGGGACCTAGGAATTTGCTGAAGCCAGGAAATAAAGCTGCTGCCTCGGCTTGGGCGGAGAACACCTCTCCAGCCGGTGCCTGGGCAGATGCCCCGCTGTTAGTGCTCACACCCCATGCTGGCTTCTTCTCTTGTCTTGTCTCAGCCTGGCCACAGCCTTCAGTTCTTCCTGTCCTGAGGCAGAGGTATGGTCAACGGGAGAAGGAATATCTTTTTCTCTGGCCCTTATGGCCTTCTCCATTGCAGGCCTGCCCCTTGCTCTTCTACTTCCTCTCCTTGTGGCTAGGTCTCCTCCCGACAGTGGTGGAGTCCTTTCCCTCCGCAGCTGTCCGGAGTGACAGGCGCGTGGTGCAGTGCTCTGCCTCTAGGTGTCGCTGTCTCCCTACGGTAGCTCCCCCCCTGAGCAGGGCCTCCTGGGGGAAGGAGTGAGAAGTGGCCATTCTGGGTAGGGATTGGGGGGGGCGGGGAGGGCAGATTCTACAGGATTCTGAGGAGGGGACTTCTGGCCTAGGATCTTAGTATGCTTTGGGCTGGATGGAATGGAGGAAGCCTCCCAGGTCACTCCTGGGTCTTGGAAAAGGCAGTCTTGGCTCTGGCATATGGAGGGGCTTTTTCCGGGGCAGGATCTGGAGTGGACAGGAAGACTGGGGTGATGTCTGTGTCTAGAGGAAACCATTTTGGGAGCTTGATTTTGACAGGACCAAGTGGGCTCCTCCCTGCCCTTCCCTTCTGAATCTTTTCCCCAGAGCCCCTTCCTTCAGAGGACGGTGGGTTTAGATGTTCTGAGGGTGATGGGTAGGAAGGGTGGTTGAATCCTGCCTGTTCACCTTTGGAAAGGCAAGGCTCCATGTGCAAGACCAGAGTCCAAGGAGGGAAGCTATTTCCCTTTTGCAGTTGGCTTATTATTCGGCTTTTGGAAAGAAGAAAAAAAAAAAAGGAGAGACCAAGGAGGAGAGGGTTTCAGAGAAGGGTGGAGAGGAGAGGGAAGAGAGGAGAAGTAGGAAGTGCTAGAGAGAGAGAGAGAGAGAGAGAGAGATTGGGGCACAAGGCTATTCAAAGAGGAAAGGTGATGAAGAAATAGACCTTAGAAGGAAGTCAGAGAGAGAAGTGTGTGTGAGAGAGAATTGAGAAAGCCACACACAGACACACACACACAAGGAAGAAAGCTAGGGGCTTGTCAGGCTTGCCTGCAGCACTTTCTTTCTGCAGGGCTGGGGTACAACTTGGCCACAGAAGGCATGTTTTCAGGTGTCCAGCCAGGGTGCACTTGGACTGGAAGGTGTGGAGGGCTGGGCTGGAAAGGGGTGGCCGCCCCCTTCTGGGCATGCCTCAGGCCACAGGTCAGGCTTGTCTCTTGGGGTCTTCTCTTAGAGTCTGGGAACTCAGAATGGACAGGCCAGGAGTCTGAGGGGCCCTTTCAGCCCATGTGTGACCTTGAGTTGTCCTCTCCCTTCTTTAGGTCTCAGTTTCCCGAGGGTAAAGTGGTGGGGGTCAGGGGAGCTGGATGCTGTGGTCTCTGAGGTCCTAACAGACTAAGAGAGTAAAATTATTTCCTGCTGCTTTCCCAGTTTAACCCAGCCTGTTGGCTGGACCTCTGGTGGAACTGAGGTGGATGGAGGTTTGGGCAGCAGGAAAGTGAGAGTCCTCCTCTGCACACTCGGGCAGGCCCTGCAGCCCCCAGCTCTCTGCTGAGGCTGTGGCATCCTTCTCTGGCCTCCTGGGGTTTTCGACTGTCTGTGGTCTTGCTGGAGGGTCTTCCGGCTTTCCTCTGCTCCGCCCCTGGGCCCAGGGCTGAGGGGTGACCAAGTGGAATTGGAAGAGAATCCGGTAGAGCCGGGGCACAATGACAGCTCGAGGTCTCCTTTGGGCTTGAGGAGCGTTGTTGGTGTCTTGGGAACCTTTGGGCTCTTCTGTGACCCGCTGTGTGGTGGGGAAGGCAGCATGGAGTCGGCCTTGGTGTGCTTTGGAGTAAGATGGGTGTGAAATTCCCCAAAGGGCCCAAGCCCCCAGGCCTGCATCTTGGGTCGGAGGTTGTGGCGGCCCTCATTCATGCTTGTCTTCCCTCCCCACCACCCAGACGAGACCCTCCGCTCTTTGGCCAGCCCTTCCTCCCTGCAGGGCCCCGAGCTCCACGGCTGGCGCCCCCCAGTGGACTGTGTCCGGGCCAATGAGCTGTGCGCCGCGGAATCCAACTGCAGCTCCCGCTACCGCACGCTGCGGCAGTGCCTGGCGGGCCGGGACCGCAACACCATGCTGGCCAACAAGGAGTGCCAGGCGGCCCTGGAGGTCCTGCAGGAGAGCCCGCTGTATGACTGTCGCTGCAAGCGGGGCATGAGGAAGGAGCTGCAGTGCTTGCAGATCTACTGGAGCATCCACCTGGGGCTGACTGAGGGTAAGCCCGGCCCGGGGGGGGGGGGGGGGTGGGGGCCTAGGTTCAGGGGAAGACTCGGTAGTGGAGGGAACCGGCCAGCTCTCTATCACTCCCTGCCAGGGGAGCCTGGAACATAGAGGAAGTAGCTGGCTGACCTAGGAGGGCAGCTGTTAGAGGCGGCCAGGAGGGGTGAAGGAGGGGGCGGAATGTCACCTGGGGAGGAGAGGGGGCCGGGTGGTGGGAGAAGGAGAACAAGGCTGGAGAAAGGAGGGGGGTAGGGGTCAGGGAGAGGATGGATGGACGGACGGACGGACGGAGGGATGGACTTGTGCAAGTGGTAACAGAGAAGGGGAGGCAGGGTACCCAGGCAGATTGGGGGGGGGTCGCTGCAGGCAGAGCTGTGCCTCCAAGCAAACCAGCCCCTGCCACTCCCCGAAGGCCTGGGCTCTGAGCTGAGGGCAGTCCCATTTTTGCTCTTCCTGCTGCCAGGAGGCTTGCTCTTCAGGGGCCTTCCTGACCCCAGGGCTGGCCTAGGCCCTTTCCGTAGGGCTTGGAGCAGTGTGTGGGCAGCAGGCCCCTCCACCTGCCAAGGTGGAACCTGCCACCGCCCCCTCCCCTAACAGCCTGCTCCCCAATGTCATCCCCCTCCAGACCACAGTGTGGAGGATTTGCATATAGTGCAGGAGGATTGGCCACCTTGGTTAGACAGTCATTTGTTGATTCAACAACTGTTTATTGAGAGGTTATCATCTGCTGGGCATTATGGGAACACTTGAGAAAAAGCGGGGGGAGCCTCTGCCTTCATGGAGCTCATAGTTGGGGGGGTGCAGAGAAGTGAGGGGCTTTCTGTCACTTGGTGGCCTGAATGCTGTCGGAATGCACTGGTGCTGTGGGAGCCCCACGGCAGGTTCTTAGAGTCTCAAGAGCCTTCCTGGAAGAGGCAGCCTCTGAGCCGAGACTAAGAGTGAGCTGCTGTTATGCCGGAGGGATATAGGCAGAGTGTGGGAGGTGGAGGGGGAGCTTGGGCAAAGGCCCCCAGGAGGGAGTTGAACTCACTTGCAGACCAACAAGTAACTCAGTGTAGTCAGGTGGGGAGCTGGAAGTGGGGATGGGGGGAGGAGAGGGGAGGGGTGCAGGACCTGCTGGGCCTCAGGGAGCCCCGCAAGGGGAGGCCACGCGATCTCAGCTTCAGGACAGTGTTCATGTGGTTCCAGCAGAGGAGGTTGTTCCTGTGATCCAGGCCAGGGGTTGTGGTGGCTGGCTGAGGACAGTGGCAGGATCAAGGGAGGGTCCAGGGAAGCAGAACCCACAGGTCTTGGTGAAGGGAGAGGAGTCAAGGAGGGCAGTTTTCTGTTTTGGCCAACTGGGTGGGTGATGGGGCCGTTCGCAAGAGGCAGAGAAGGTTTCGTGTGGGGGGAGGGCAGGGAGATGATGCCTTAATTTTGGGGCGTGTGGCTCTGGTTGGAGCCCAGGTGGGGAAGCGGCTTTGTACATGGAGATTTAGGAGCTGCCAGTCAGCCAAGGCCAAGGGTGTGCGCACACGGAGGGGGAGGGGAGGGCCGGGACAGAGCCCCCGGGACCACCACCGACATTTACAGATGGGTGGGGGAGGCAGGGGCACCTGCAAGGGTGCAGGAGAGAGGCGGGAGGGACAGCAGGGGACCGGGGAAGGAAGGAGGGCCAGCAGTCTCCGGTACTTGGCGTCCAGCAGGAGAGGGCTGGCAGCGCGGCTCTGTGCCCTTAGGGTGAGCTCCGCAGGTGGCCGCTGGGAGCAGAAGCCTGGTTAGGGGGTGAGTGGGAGCTGGGAAAGGTGACTGTGGACAACTTCTAGAAGTTTGGTGTGAGGAGGAGAGGACAAAGGATGACTTTTTTTTAAGATGTGAGAGGGCGGAGCGGCTTGAAATGGAAGGTAGGCCAGTAGTGGTGGAGTGTTGAGGTGAAGAGAGGGGTATGCTGTGGAACGGCGTCCGTGGTTAGCCTGAGATGGAGAAGCAGCATGGCCTCAGGGTGCTGGAGGGTAGGGGAAATGGGGACTGGGTGTGGGGGCCGGAAAAGGAGGGATTTCTGACCAGGCGCCGAGATGGTTCCAATACACCCTGAACGTGGGAGTAAAGAGGGCAGGTCATTATGAACAGTGTCACCACCGTGAATAGCAAAGTAATTTTTCTGACTCAGTCTCCCGTTCCCAGCAACCTCGAGTCCTGGAGCTAGAGGTGAGCAGAGAGAGGGAAACAGTGCCACAAAGTGCATGTCCCTTATTCCCTGCGAGGTGAGGGAGGATGCCTCTCTACTGCCTGAAAACTGAGGTCCCTGAGCCCACGGCTGCGTTCTTTAGTTTCTTGTTTTCTTTCCTGAGGTCTTCAGTTTCAACCCAGGGGAGGTGGGGCGGTACCTTGGGGTGGGCTTGCTGAGGGCTGCGGGATTCCCAGGGGAGGGGACAGAAGGACTGCCAGCTGGAAGAGCCGGGTGGGCCACCCGAGAGCCTGGCCACCAGAGTGGCTCCCTCTGGCATTACCGTGCCAGAGGCCCGAGGCCCTTGCTGGTGGGAGCCAGGCAGTGGGGCGTTTGGATGAGAAGATGGCGTGTGTCACGGGCTTTATGGTGCGTCCTGCCCTTTGCTCTTCAAGGCCCTCTCAACCCAGCAATGCCGGACGGGAGAGGCGTGAGCTGGCTTGCCGGTTCTCTTACTCAGCAACCATCTTTGAAGCCTCTGTGTGCTTCGGGGTGGGGGTGGGGAAGCGCTGATTCAGCCGTGGTCCCATGTGCTGGGCTGCGTGTGGCTAGGAGAACCCTCCCCTGGGCCAATCCTACAAAAGTAGACCCCCTGCTTTCTCCTTCCTCAGAATGCACCCCGCCCCCATTCCTGGCTCTTGGGAGCCCGAGGTGGTTTCTGCCTAGAGCTGGCCAGGGGAAGCTGAGAGGCCATTTAACAGTAGGTAATGTTCCTGTGAGTGACAGGATCCACCTGAGAGTTAATTATTCACGGTGTGGGATGAGTGGTCTCCCTGGGGGAGGCTGCAAGCACTTCCTCCCTATTCCTTAATAACACTGAATAACCTGGCCTGGGCCTGGGGCGGGGTGGGGGATTGTGGAGAGGAGAGATCTGTACTGGTTTGGACTTGGACTGTGGCTTCTCCTTGGCCCCTGCTGGCGGGTGTGATTGCTCTGGAGGCTGGGCCCCACCTTCTCCCTCCACCTGAGGCTGAGCTATGTATAGTCTGAGGACCTCAACTGCGGACAGAGCTGGCGGTGGCAGGAATGTGGCCTCTGCTGAGCTCCTAGATGGTCCCAATTGCAAAGGACCTAGAGATCGTTCTGTCCCATGCCCACTTTGGTGGGGAAGCTGAGGGTGCAGGGAGGAGGGTTGGTGGGACCAGGGCCCCCGACTCCTTATCCAGACCTCTTTCCAACTGCCCTGGGGAGAACCTGTGGCCTGGGGCTCAACTGTCCCTTCTGTCACCACCGCCATTATTTACATGGTGGTGCTGTCCCTGATGGCTCCACGGGGCACTTGAGACCAGACTTCTTGCCTTCTCCAGAGGTGGCCCTGAAGTTCAGGGTCATTCTGGTCCTTCACATGTGAAGAGCAAAGGCCTCTTGCACAGGTCATGGCCTGGGAATCTGACACCTTAGGTTTGGGTCAGTCTGGTGGCCGGGATGCCCAAGGGGCCAGGTCTCCGATTTCCTGCTGGTGAATTCTGCCGCAGGAGCGTGCAGCATGAGTTGACTTAAATAGGATGGGCCTTTCCCAGCCAGTCCTGCAAGAGGCTGTTTTCCCCCCGGACACTAACCTCCAACCCTGCAGTCGATCATACTAGCTGATCTGTACCCAGGTGCCTAGCTTTGCCAGGTGCAGGAGGGAAGGACAGGCCCGGGGCTGGGGAAGCAGTCCTGCTGGCCTAAGACTGACCCTGTGAAAAGTCCAACAGCAGCAGTACTTGCTTAAGAACAGTTTGGTTCAGCAACGCTTTTAATTTTGGAGACTGTATTCATCATGGCTAAGTACTTGGATTCTGGAGCCAGCTGCCTGGGTTTGAAACCTGGCTCTGCCACTTACCAGCTGTGTGACCTTGGGTCAGTTACTTAACATCTCAGACCAGTTCTTTAGCAATAAAACAGGGAGAGGAATAGTGCCTATCTCACAGAGAAATTAAGAGGATGAAGCGAGTTCGTACACCTAAAGCGTTTTCAGTGGTGCCCGTGCATGGAGGGCTCAGTATAACATCATTTTTCCTACAAATACTCTTCCTAAGCTCTTGTATTATTTGGCCCCAACCAATAGGAGTGGCTAGTAACCCCACCGCTGGGAGTTTTTCTGGTGCCTGCGGGTAGAGAGGAGGACACTGAGATTGTACAGGCCTGGTCAGTCCCGGGGGCAGGTGGGATCGGAGACTGGCCTGAAAGGATCAATACCGTTTGGATGTCGGTCAGCAGATAGTGCTTAGGGCCCGTTGTGTGTGGTGCATTCTGTGTACTGTGTGTTGCAGGGCGTGAAGGGTGCTTGCTCCTGTGAGGTGAAGTAAAGGGTGGGGGCCAGTTCTGCAGGGGGAGAATAAATATCTGGGGGTCTGTACCATTTTTGGGGGGTCTGCTAGCTATAGCAGACAGATGCCTTGCTCTGTGAACCAGCAGAGGGCCGGATACGCCTTGAGTGCTGGCCGCCGGGGGACCTCACCCCTTACGGGCAGATTACAGGTCCCCTCTTCTGGATGGCTGGCCCCGTCCTGCAGGTGGCCCTGTGGATGCCACCGCACATGTGCTCTTCTTCAGGTGCTGGACCCCGGGGGAATGGGAAATCAATGTGTGAGACTGTGGGTCATCACCTATCTCCCCCGCCCTTTCAGCACACACACAGTCTGAGTGATTATCCATTGATTTCTCCTCACAGTAATGTCTCAAGAGGATATTTCCTGTCCTGCCGAGGTGTTGGTGGAGGGGGCGGGAGTCCCAGTGAGGAGGTGGTGGGTCTCCAGGGCATCCCTGTGCCATTTATCTCTCGTCACTCGCTTGCTTTTCCTTTCACCAGCTCTCTGATGCACGCCAGAGTCCTGAGGACAGGTCTGAGAAGCCAGCAGGTGGTGGGGAGGCCAGGGAGGGAGTGCAGAGGTGGGGAGTTGGTCAGACAAGATGGGGGTCACGCCTCCACTCAGCAGACCTTCAGCCCCTCCAGGCGGACCCTTCTGGTGACATGACAGGAAACAAAGAGGAAGTTCTGTGCCCTTAGGTGGCCTGGGCAGAGCGAACCTGTAGTGATGGGGGAGAATGTCAGCGTGAGGGCCAAGGGACCAGAGTCTAGTCTAGCTCTGCCACAAGGAGCTGTGTGATCTCAGTCAGGTGTCTTTACCTCTCTGGGCCACCTCAGAGTCCTCTCTTGTGAAATGAGGAACTTGTACTGAACAACTTTGGAGGGCCTTTGGCTTCAAATCCTTTGATTTATGTCTGGCCTTCTGCAGGCTGTCCACCTCCCCAGTGCATTCTTTCCGGAAGCATTTGGAAGTCCTTAGAAGAGGGCTGGACATGCAGGGAGGTCAGCAGAGGGAAGCGTGAGCAGTACTGACCTGCTGTGGGAGACTTCTACTCTAGTTGGAGAGAAAGAACTCACCCGTATGAAATGTTCAGCATTTCATGCATCACTTGCTCTTGTCTAGCACCGTGGGAGGGGTGAAGCTGTGCCTGACGCCGGTTCTCTCTTCCAGGTGAGGAGTTTTATGAAGCCTCACCCTATGAGCCGGTGACCTCCCGACTCTCGGACATCTTCAGGCTTGCTTCAATCTTCTCAGGTAAGTGGGCTCGTGCTAGGGCCTCCCCAGTCCTCCTAGGTGCCCTGGCCTTCAGTCGGTTCTGCCTTCCACCAGCAAGCTCCTTTGTGTTTCTGAGCTTGGGGTCCTCATCTGTGAAAGAAGAAACCATAACACCCACCCCTGAGGTTGTGTGTGGAGTGGAGCATTTATGGGACTTGCCTAGAATGCACCTTCCGTGCAGTAGGTCTTGAATTGGAAACCTGGTGTCACGCTCCTAGTTTGTCATGTGTCTTGCCCTGCGGGGTCCTTCTTTCCAGTTCCTAACTCTTGTACTTTGGAATTCTACTTTGGTCGAGTTGTTCACCTTTCCTGTGCCTCAGTTTCCTCAGTTGCACAGTGGGAGAGTACCTATCTTGGGTTGTCGTGAGGTCTGAATGAGCCAGTGGTTGTGAAGGGCTCAGTGAGCTGCTGGGCAGCGCAGCCCAGGGCCTGACCAGGAACGGTTAGCTGTGGCTCTTGGCAGTAATATCACCCCTCTCGGCTCCGCTCTGGGACTCCCCTTCCCCCGGGGGCTCTTCTTTTTGAGCGCCGCTGAGAGGTCTCTTGGTCCTGGCCACTCCTGCCCCGGCCTGCCCTGGGAAGTTTGAGGACTGTGTGGAGCTCTAGCTTTGCTTGTCACGGTCCCTGTGCAGGAGTCTGAGGACTTTGTTGGTTCCTTCTTCTTGGCCTGTTCCCTCTGGCATCTGGGAGACCTGTGGGCCCAGGGCAGCCGCCCCTGCTCGGGCACTGGGAGGGCCTTCCTGTCTTGGGAACCGCTCTGTAGGGGCTGGGGACGAGCTCCTCCTGAAGCCACCACTGGTGCTCAGTGGTGGCCGGGGGGGCCTGTTACAGTACAGGGCCCCAGACCTTAGGTTTCTAGGAAGTTTTGTGGCAGTATGTGAAGCCTTCTGAAGTTTCTTTTGCTCTTAAACCATGGGTTCTCAATAGCAGCACTGTTGGGGTTTTGACCTGGATAATTCTGTCCCGCGGGCAGAGCTGTCCCATGCATTGTTGGATGTTTAGCAACGTCCCCGGCCTCTACCCACTGGACGCCAGTAGCAACGCACTGAGTTGTGACAACCCAAAATGTCTCCAGACATTGCCAAATGTCTCTTGAGGGCATGACTGCTACCAGTTGAGAAGCAGCCCTCGAAAACTGTGAAATGAACGACTCTCCAGTGAGACCCTAAACCCCTTCAGATGAAGAATTCTCTAGGAGACTGTTTCTCAAACTTTCTTTTTCTGTTATTGCCTCCTGCTAAGGAGAAAAGTCAATTCTCTGTAGAGAAATACTGTCGTAGTCTCTTTGGGCTGCCGTCACAAAATACCACGTTGGGGAGCTTCAGCAACAGAAATGTATTATCTCAGAGAGGCTGGAAGTTGAAGATCAAAGTCTGGCCGGGCTTGGTGTCTGGTGAGCGCTCTTTTCCTCACTTGCAGATGGCCACCTTCTCACTGTGTGGGAAGGGAGGGGTGGTGAGGAGGGAGAGAGGGAGGGGGAGAGAGAGCGAGAGAGCTTTTTTTTTTTTTTTTTTAATATAAGGACACCATTTCTGTTGGTTTTGGCCCTACCTTATCACCTTTATGACTTCACTTAACCTAATTACCTCCTAAAGCTCTGTCTGGAAATACAGTCACATTGGAGATTAGGACTTCAGCATGTGAATTTGGTGGGCACAATATAGTCCATAGCAAATACCAAGGAATACCTACTTTTCTTTTTTTGCTTACCCAAGAGCCAATTTTTGAGACTGTATCTAAGGAATTGATACGGGAGAATATATATGTTCCTGATGGGAGAAATCGTGGAACCCCATGAGAAAGGAGGCATTGGCCAAAGGGTGACCATCTAGATTTGCCCTTGGGCCCTGGTGATGGTTGGGGTTGGTGGTGAATGAAATGGAGACTTCAGAGATGATCCTGATTGGTTTTGGATAGAACTTCACCCTGGGCCACTCCTTTGGAGACAGCCTCGGGGCTCACATGCAGGTTGAGAGTATTCTCAGCACGGGATGCTGTAGTGGGGGTGCCGCGCTGCCCCGATGTACCCGGTTCTCACCCTGCCAGCTGAGTACTGCTGGAGGGGTGGAAGCCATTGGGTTTACCTGCAGCAAAGACATAGATTAGCCTTGCTCCTTGAGGGGTGAAGGTCAGAGGTCTGCTTCCCGGACTCCCACTAAACATCTTTCTAGCAGAAAATCTTTATGTGATGGACTTGATACTCTGTGAGATAAGGATATTGACAAGTGAGGAAGTTATTGGGTCTCAACTCACCGAATCAGCTTCTTTTACCCGCTGCCCAGATGGAAATGGCCCCCACATGACTCGGGGGCTCGGGGGACCACTCCCTACAGAGAGGGCATAACTTCAGGGTCTGTGACAGCCCCCCTCATCACTCCAGTTGACCCCACTCCACTCAGAGTAGCCCCAGAGTTGGTGCATGGGTGGCCCCGTCTGGGAAGCTTGGGCACAGCTGGGTGGAGGGCCTTGGCCAGGCCAGCAGGAAACCAAGCAGGCCAGGGTGGGGCGCAGAGCAGGAACAAGTCTGGATGTGGAGCTGGGAGGCCCGAGTGAGTGCCAATGCATTCCCTGCCACAAATCACCTGAGGGGCTTGGGCAGGTCACTTCCCTGCTCCAGACCTTGTATTTTTTTTCTGAAGAAGGAAGACATAAGCTTAGAGCAGAGCTCCCTGATTTTTCCCCACCAAGGCGCACAGACAGTGGCAATATTGGGTGGCATACTAGGGTGCGCAGAGCATCTTGGTGCTCGGGGGAACATGGGCCTCTGTGTGGGGTCAGTCTCTGGGCACATACGTCCCCTACCTGTGGCTTGCTGGCTGAGAAGGCTTGGCCTGCAGGAACCAACATCTCCACCGATGCTTTGGGATGATGAGGCTGCCACCTTGTAGAACTGGATGGAGCCCGTCTGCACATGCACACACCCAGAGTTGGCTGTGAATTGCTTCCTCCATCATCTCTGTGTGGAAAGGCAGGGGGTGGGGAGCATGGGGTCTCTGTGGCTCTCCTCTAGGCCACACTATGCCCAATCAGGGCCCTAGGGACTTGGAAGAGGATGTTCTTGTAGCTTTGGGGTTCAGTTGCTACTATCTCCTTCACATCTACTGTCTAAGAATTTGGGTCCTTGTTGGGGCCTCGTAGAACATGTGTTCTTCTTTATCTCTGGCCTTCTCTCTCTGTTGGGGTTCTCAGAAAGTCCCACTGGGAATCTGTTGGCAATAAAAGCTGCCAGGATTCCTCCAGCACTCTCTGATGCCAGAGGCCCTGGGGGAAGGACCAGCCTCCCCTCCTCTCTGCCTAGTTCAAAGACAGGCCCTAGGGTCAGTGACTGGGGCTGGGACTACTGGTGTCCCGTTAGCCCTGAGTCCAAGGCTGGGAGGAGAGCAGCCTGGCTCTGCCCTGAACCATGGCAGCAGTGATGTTGGAGGCGTCCAGGTGGGAAGGGAGAGTTCACGGGGAAGTGAACAGCTAGGCTGTTCCTAGCCATTCAGCTGCCCTTGCAAGCATGAAGAGTGGTTAGGGAGGCAGCCTAGTGCACAAGAAGAGTGTGGGCCTTAAGGCAGACAGTCTAGGGTTTGAATCCCGACCTGGCCACTTAGGGGAGTGTGATCTTGGGCCTCACTGGGTCTTCTCGAGCTGTAGTGCCCATGCTTGTGTGGTGGGAATGTGATACCTACTGGCGAGGTTGCTACAGAGAAGTTACCGAGAATGGATGTAGGCAGAGTAACAGTCATCCTCCCTGTGCCGAGGATGCTCAGTAGGGGGCCAGGGTTTGGGGGAGCTGAAGTCGGGAGCCCCTCCATCCCCAGGTGTTCGTGACCCTGTGAATACTGCACCCCAGCTGGTCGCACATGGGGAGGCAGGAGAGGATGGAACAGGCGAGGAGAAGAAGGTCTTCTTAGGGAAGGGAGAGACTGTTCAGGCGGAGAGAGGTTGTGGAAGTGTTCCATGCTCGGGTCACGTGGAGGGAGGCCATCAACGCAAGGGTGGAGGGTCTGGGAGGCCCAGGCAATGGTTTCCCTCATAGCCTCAGGGCCATGCCTGGGGGATAGGGAGAAACAATGGCAGATGGCCTCCGCTGGGCTTTGCATTCTTGGTGAGGGGCGGGAGCCTCCAGGGCCTCTGCATCCCACGAGGGCCTTACCAGATGCATGGGCACGGAGCACGTTTATGCAAACGTCTTTTCTGTAGCTGGAAGGGAACTTAGAGATCACCTAGGCCCACCCCTTCTCCCAAGGGGCTGATAGAAACACCTATTCTCTAGAGTTTTGCTGGGACTAAATGAGATATTGCAGGTAAATGCTTGACTCAGTGCTGGGGCATATTGCACTAGGATATGTAGCTATTTAAAGCTTACGGAGTTTCTCTAAGGGCAGATGGCCTGGAAGCTTGCATCTGGGAAGTGGTTGCAAGCCCTTTGGTGACATGAGACTGCCTCCCACCCATGAGTGCTTGGTGGGGGCTTGGGTGGGAGATGACTGGGCAATTTTCATGGGACAGTAGGACCTGGGGACTCCTGCTGAGCCACCCTGGCCTTGGTGAGCCACACTGTAGAGGGTTGAGGACACATGGAGGTGGATGAAATGTCTGGGCCTGGGGCATTTTGTGGGTTGGAGGAAGACGCAGTGGGCAGTGTCTGCCTCAGTTGGCCAGTAAGCCTCTGGGGTGGGTGGGCCGTCTTGCCTGGCTAGGGGCAGGAAAGGCCTAAGGATGTATCGGGCTCAAGTGGTCCCCTTTTTGGGGGCTTAGGAGTGGAGGGAAACCTATCCCTGCCAAGAAGCCTGACAGGTGGCCCCTGACAGATGAGCACCACCTTTCCCCTTGGTGCTACAGCACTCTCCTGTGTTGGGGGCACGCGTGTGATCGTGGGTGTTGGTCTGTGTCCATGCGTCCATGCTTCTCTGTATTCCTGTGGGTGACTCGCGCTCTGCTGTGCTTCTAATACATACCCACACAGAAGATCCTGGAGTACTGGGTTGGCC